TAGAGTGGGTGTCGAGGCTTGAGGACTGATCTGGAGATTCCTGAAGATGTCGGCACCATGTGACGAGCAGACGCTGCACGCAAAACCGATGCATGACGAACGGAGTCATCAGTCCTAAGTGCTGGGCCTACAAGGAGAGAGTTATTAATGGGGTGGGGAGAGGTGGAAGAAAAAGTATGTGAAGGAGAAAGAAGGGAGGCGTCAGCAGTAGCCTGTTTTCGCTTACCCGCCCTGCTGTCGGCAGCAAGTAAGGCCACCCGGCTGATGGCACCACACGACGGCCGATGTGGCATGAGAATATTGTTAGTTGTTTAGGTCATGGTTGTACGAGGGCTGGGATGCTGCCAGGGCGCCCACACCTAGACAGGAGGACGATTAGGGTCCTCAACCAAAGCTTTGGCTCAAAAGGTCCAGTCTCTTCGTGACGGAGTTGTTCCTAAGGAACTTTATAATGTACATAGGGGTGAGCATCTCTTTCTGTGTGGTATGTTAATTATGCTTTAAAATCTCCCTAAGAAGTAAACATGTTTTTCTTAGAAAAACAGCTCAAATGTCGCTATTGCCAGCGTCAGCTTCTAGCAGCTGTCTACATGTCCTTGAGCGTTAGAATCGGTGAAGAACACAGTATTCCCCACCAGCCCTTGAAAATCATGCTCACACTGCTTGTCCCATTTGAACGAAATACCTCTGCTCAAATCGGTTAAGCCGATGCTTTGTCTCGCTTCATCAAATCACATTCAACAAAAAGAATAACTGTGTTATTGCAGCCAGCAAATCTGAGTCTGAAGTTCATCAAATCCTGATTAAAAGCGTCAGAAGATTACTAGTTACTACTGAAACAATATATGAAAATACCAGCAATGAGGAAATTCTATTAAAAGTTATGTACTATGTACAGACAAAGTGGTCATACGGTGAAATTTCCTTAAAGCTACGACCATTCTTCAATCGACGTGAGTCACTTTTGATTGTTGAAAATTGTTTAATGACGAGAGAGCGAATTGTAGTACCAAGTGAGAACAGTTTCACTCAGGAATCCAGGTACAACTCGCACGAAATCCACTGCAAAAAGCTTCATTTGTTGGCCTCAAATGGACGCAGAAACAGAAATGTCAGAAATTTAAACTTTGTCAAATGGCAACATAAACACTTTCCAGATGTCTAGAACAACCATGGCCAAAAAGCGAGAAACCATGGGAAAGATTTCACCTAGGTTAAGGAGGTCCAATCAGTGGTCAGGCCTCGGTTCATTTAGTGGATTAGTTCACTAGGTAACCAGATGCGTTCCGTTTGCGCGATAATTCTGGAAAGTCTGCTATCAATAAACTGGATAGATTATTTCAAAATTTTGATAGTGAAGAGCCGATTATGACCGAAATTGGAATGCAATTCACCTCAACACACTTTAGACAGTTTTGCGAAGAAAATGGTATCGAGTAGAAGCTTTCACCGCCTTATCATCCTCAATCCAACGGGCAGGCTGAACGATTCTTGGATACGATTAAACGGATTCTATTAAAAGTGAGAGGAAGGGAGACGTTGGACAACACAGTTCAATCGTTTTTTGACAAGGTACCGAAAGTCCCCAAACCCAAACGTTCCCGATGGAAAATTGCCTACAGAATGCATGTTTGGACGGAAAATTAGGACAACTTACGGTAATCTTAGACCTAAGAACAGGGACACCAGAAATGCGGCAGATGAGACAAACACTGCGAAAATTCCACACCGGTGACATGGTTTATACAACAAATTTTCATGGTCTAGAAAAAGGTCCAGTGGCACTCTTCTGGGCAATAAAGGAACTGTGATCTACGAGATCAAAGCTGGAAAGGAAAATTGGACGAGGCATATCAACCAACTACGACCAAACCACAAGGATACTCAATACCGGTAAGAAGGAGAAAATTTTAGTGGGACATCGTGATGGACACGTTCGGTTTGGAAAATGGAAATGTTCGACCCCTCGAATGATTCCAGAACATGATAGCACTGCATAGTTTGCAGCTAAGACCGAATCGAAACCGGTAACGGATAAACTGGCTCAAAATTAACTCAAGGAGGGAAGACTATGATCAGATTCAAGCAGTCCGAAAAAGTTTCAAATTGAGAGAGGAAGTAGTACGGCTGCGCGTCAGCCTACCGCGCAGCAGAAAAATCATGTGGTGAAACCGTGCCGTACGGATATGCCCACGCATCTGAATCACACCAGGTTTCGCCATGCTGCGAAGCAAGGGTCAAAAGGTACGCGTGCATTTCACGCCCACACAATAGCCAAGTCACTCTGTACACAAGAGCACAGACGGCCATTTATGATTAACCGAAACAGAGAAATCAACTGCTCGAGAATCGGTGCGGGCGTGCAGCAGAAACACTGATTTGTTAGGAGCATATCGACCATCAAATACGGTCACAAGTGGATGGTACAAATAGAACTCTGTATTTGCATTAATACGTAGTTTTTCTGGCCGCCTTCTTGTCATCTGACTGTAACCCAGTAGCACCAGGGAAGGTGAAGGGATACAACAAGAAGTTTTTGTTGTAATAAGTAGCGCTTGGAGGGTTTTAGGCTGCAGTCTACCCCCGTGGACTTCCTTAGGGTTTGTTAGGTGCTCGTGTACAAAATAATCATCGACAATGGCGATATCTAATTATACCAAACGTTCGTTCTGTTTAAGCCGACAGAAGGTTACTAGTGCAGTCACTAAAGCATGTGGTATTATCCATATATCCCTGAATTCGTCGAAGAAGCCGTCCTGTGATTTTACCTGCCAATAACTTTGCTTAAATGGGGAAAACCAAGGGATACAGCTGATACAATGCGTCCTGAAGAAAACAAAAGGACAGACACCCTTATACTTTTTCACGGCTTATGTCAAGCTGCTTGTGAACAATGCCTTTCATGTATGAAGCGGACGGCTCAGACATGATCAAAATATTCTGAAACTCACGCAGGCTGCGCCTTCACTTTAGTCCGATGGCTTAAACATGAGCCAGTCAGTCAGCGCGTAGAAGACCTACAACTGTACTATGTGGCATACAGGATTTTCAGTAATACGGCTTCACTTTCCAAATGCTGAAGGCTCAGGAGCGCCCTAACTGCGGCAGCAGGTGAACCTTTCGACGTAGTAATTGTCACCGTATATAACGAAGGGTTCTGGAAGCTAACACAATCCACATGTGATCCACATCCAAAATGGGAGAACAGCTTAGGCCAGCAGTGGCGCATCCTGAATGGGTCGTTAGGTTCGTCGAGAACTGTGACAGTGAAGTGCCAGTGCTGTGATGCGTCTACGCTGCCTACACGAAATAGAAACGAACAACGTTTTGGGCTAATTCTATCGGTCGGACATATATAGCACCTTGTTTCAATCTAACGCTTGTGCGCTCTGACTAACTGCTTGTGCTTTTGGGCCTCTGTGGGTATATGGTAAGCGAGGCTACTTCACTGCCTATCTTGAAGTTCCATCCTGAATCTTTTTGTTGATTCTCATCTATTAATTATGCGAATTACATGTCAACAAACGTTACCAGAACCAAACCTGCGCTTCAGCTTGCGTTGTATACAGAACCATGTCTGTAAACACCGGTGAAGAATTCGTGGTCAGAAGATCACCCGTAACCTTTTTGGGTAAGTTTATTCTGCAGCCTTATTGACCCAGAACCTGTCAGAAGCCAGAAATAATGATATCGTGGATTTACTTATGTGCGGTGACCTAACGCATACTATTCCTGAGGATGTTCGGCTTGGGATTTTGCTAGCAATTCTGCAACTGTTTCAGAAGAACAAAGTGTCGCGGCTGACATTTCCAGAATCCTTTAATTCAACCCAAAGGGGATTTGTTCGCTTGGTTTCGCAAATGGTTGGCCTTCGAACTTTCACTTCCGGGTAGGTAACTACTTTACGGTAGGACGTGAGCTTTGCTGTCGTTCATGTTCTAACTACGCTTGTTTCACCCCTAAAGCGCTAATACGTAAAACTATCAGCATTAACCAGTTAGTCCACCAAATGAACTTGCACACTAGCAGAATCAATTTGTGAGATACTACCAATACTGAAATTTTATTCGCCGTAATCCGTTTATTTCTACTAGTTTTGGCTACAGTTTGTCAGGAACGGGTATGGACCTCAGCTAGTAAGTAGATATTTCTTGCGCCAAGCAGGCAGTACCGTGGGTTTTCTTTTGAACCACGCAGTAAAGTGTTTCTTAGTCTAGCCGCCGGCTCCAACGAGCAACCAAAGCTAACAAGCCGCTCCTTGGTTTGACGCACGAAAAGATGAATGCCTATTCCACCACGTGATTGATAAGAAATAGTGGCAGTGCTGGAGGTGACCGCAGCACGCTACTAAGTTTGAGCTGCTGAAAGTGAAAACTTTTTATCGATGGACACTGAGAAAATAAAGATTAGTCCGGAATTTGCCAAACTTTGGCACTCATTTTGTATGTACGAAAGGTGATGAGACTGAAAACGTAGTGAAGAGACTCCAAACAGTGCTTCAACTTAGAAACATTCTGGCTTCGAAAAGTTGTACCCTCAGTTTTGTAGTCAGGGGGGATTGATTTAAGGTAATCTTTCATGGAAGAAGGCGAACCATCGAAAAAAGCTTGAAGAAGGCTCTTCATGGTGTTCTTTCTTCGTGATAGTTTGTATAATTGTTTCCTCTGCGTGCGTTCACCTCCTAACCCATCCTTCATGATCACGCATCTATTGAGATCTGCGTAACTATCACCTAGTTAGCCACATTAATATTTTCAGAAGTACACTTTTCGTGTATTATCCTCTCTGGTCCCCAATTTTCGCCCACGTCATGTCAGTTGATCTGTTGTATCGAGTGTTTCAACGGCGTGTAAATGCAGCTGATTTCGCAATGTGCGATGACTCATTGGTTCGTTTCAGTGGCACTGCTAGTGGGTTAGGTGTATTCGGGCTCACCCTGATGTGTTGTTTGAAGAATCGAGCAGTACGACTAACATACTCGATCCGGCTTATGGTTGGGCTTCGCTATTCACATTGACTGACTGTTTCGCAGTGCTTAAACCTGGAGTATAAAATTGCGGCCAGATGGCACAAAGGAAACCTTTGTGGTGATATAGTTTACGAAGAAGGTTATTTTGGGCCGGGCTTGCCACCTGTCACGGTCTATGATTCAAAACTCTGCTGTTTCTGTTGCGAGTTCGCTGTGGTCTTTCCGTGAACCTGTCACGGTCAGACGGGCCTGTATCGGTCAACGAACGCTAATTTCATCTCAATGTATTACTGGTTGATGATCTTCAAGCTCTTTTGAAAAATTTTGGTGCGAATCGGCAGAGGACTCAAGAATTGAAAAAACGGGAGAGTGAAAAACCTTATTTGTCGTTCCCGTGTACATAGCAAGAAACGTATTTAGTCACAAAGTTCGGGAAAAAGTGGTAGTAACTGGCCTGCTTGTGTGTGTAACGAATACTCCAGTAGCCCCTTTCCGCTATCAAATAAAGTCACCAATTTAGTAAGAGCATTGAAAATCATGTTTGGGCCTTGAAATAATGTTTGTGTTGCTGGTCGATATATGTTTAAGAAAGCCGAATTGTTTTTATTTTTGAATTGAATTTTCTGGCTTGTGTTGCAAATCCGAACATCCACAGCATGGCTTTGGGCCAACCAACACACATCAAACCAGTCATTCTTTAATCGACTTGACTTGTTCGGGGAATTTTTCAGTAATGTAGAATTGGAACGCTTTGAAACCACCCATCACTTGACCGGAATAAAAAAATAAATTGGATATCACCATACTTTATGCGTTGAAGCTTGACAGGTTAGAAGGAAGAATCTCGCCGCGTCATCCATAAAGGGAGTATGCTCTTCATTGGGTTAGCTTTGTTGTCTGGGACAATCTGTTGCATATAATTGCGGTTCATCCACAATTAGCTTAAGAATCACATTACCTGACAAAGACACTTGCTGGTGTTTTTTCTTCCTTATTAAGAATGGTGTTAATTATGTTACTGGCATTTGGTGTACTAGGTTCTTCGCCATTCCCCTAGGGTTTTTTTGGCCGCGCTGCAATAACTCAACTTTCAGCTTGCAAAAAGTCAGCAGTATATGTGCCTGAGGTTTCTCTTCATCATTGCCTACTACATGAAAACAGTATCAACCTTAGCTTAGGACACCCCTATTTTTGAACGCGCTATTCCCGGCTTTTATCCAATTCCATTACTGTTCACTTACTTGCAGACAAATTTCGTTAGATGGGCTATATTCCGTCGGTTGTGCCCCATCCCTTGGTCTGCGGTGGTATTTTTCGCTAATAAAAGGATACACACCTGTCTCCCTCAAGAGCAGCCTTCCCCTAAATGAGGCCAGTTTGCTCAAGTACACTGCGGAGGTTTATATATCTGAAGGAACGCAATTGTGCCTTTTCCTCCTCCTCTCATGAGAACATTTTGAAGGACTGACTGAATGTCAGTTCCAGAGATTTTGCATTTCATATCTTTGTAGACTTTGCAACGTACACTATAGTTGAGAGCGAACGTTACCAGTTAAGAATCTGTCTGCTTAGGCCCCCTAAAAAATTGTTCCTCAAGTTCACTTACTGTTTCGTTATTTTTTCGCAATCTCACAGGAATGGACCCATGAAAACGCTCACTGTATACAATCCCACAACGGAAAATTCGGAAGCCAGAACGATACATTTATCACTGAGTTTGAACAGCAAGCGGGCAATCATGCACTTACTCCAGTCTAATCCGCTAAGCGCTAGAGAACGACTTGAATTAAACCCTGTAAATGAAGCGCAGCACACTTTTGATAAAGGTGATTTATAATCCTATAGTTGTTTGTAAATGAGTGGACTACTTAGCCCCATCAGTTGGAGCTGATGGAGCTCGTTCAGGGAAAAGGCCACAAGAGACGACTTTACTGTTATTATTGTTGCTGTCAAAAACCATACTGGTATTATGGTGTTGAAAGTAAACGAACTGATAGACGATGCTACCACCTTATTGTTTATCTGACGTTAGCATGCACTGCGATGTAAAAATGCTTGGGTTGCCTGATGACCCTCAACAGTTCTCTGCGGGTGTTTTTCCCCCACCTTATTTCGTTTAGTTTTGATCGAATTCACAGGCTTGAACTCGACTAGAAATGTGGCTCTGCGTAAAGCATTTCGTATTCCATGACTATCAGTAGACGTCCATTAGTCCAAATGTGAGGAGTAGACCGGTGCGGATGAAACCATGAAGATAGGTAAGACCAAAAGTATCACGCAATGACTGCAAAACAAAGGTCAGTCAAACCTAGATGCCCGGAGATCAAAGCGAAACTAAATTCGGGGCCAGGGAATTGCGATAAACTATCGAACAGCTCTCCAACAGTTAAGATGTGTACCAAATATCTGAAAAGGAGATACGCCATTAATGGGGAAATCGATGCTCATAAACTGAAGATAGTAAAGTAACCTCCATTCAGTTTCCGCACGCGTGAGTTCACCAAGGAAATACGCGCAGCGAACGAGTGATTATGGATTGCTTTGCGTTTCAGGATCTAATTACTTCGTATGGTTGAACGAACATATGTCCATTTAAGGAAGTTTTATCCAACATTTTACCATTCGCCGATGGAGAAGTTAGGGCTTGGTCGCGATCGCGCAATGAGATCGCGATTTGCAGTCGTCTGGAATGGGACTTAACCATCTTGGCCGCCTTAGGAGCGCTTTGTAAGACGGAGAAAAGCAAACTCACACCTACACAATAAACATCATCCGGAACAACATTCGTAGGCCTCCATGCAAAACTTGTTGCAAGATTCGCCAAGGGGCCAGGGGGACGGAGAGCGGTGGAATCATTATACTTCGGTATATGGTTTGCAGCTAAAAACTGATTTAACCGACTAGATTGAATAGGTGTTGTGCAGCCCATTACAACCCAAACGAAGACATGATGATGCACTACGAGATTAGAGCAAGTAAAGTCGGATGCCTAAACTCGCCCAGAGGTCGGTCACGGTAGGGCCATCAACGATGTTTTGTCCCAAGTTGTTGATGGATTCCACGAACTTTACTCAAAGAAGTGTACTGTTTCATGTCCTTATTTAAGGGGATGCTCAGGTTGCTGGTTCAAGCAAAACTTGTCGTTCAAACGGCAGTAACTGATAATGAGATATCACTTACGAGCAGAACAGATAGCATGCCAATTATCCCGTGAAAATTAAATGGTCAGGCATAGAATGCGGTAGTGAAGGTCGACCGAAGCAAGCTGATGGATTGGACGTCTGTACTTGAAAACGCAAACCAGGGATAAATTTTCTGTTGCGACTGACGGTTAAAATTAACCTAACGATCGCTGACAAACTTAGGTTCTTTACACTGATGCACGCCGATCACCAAACGTGATAGATGTAGAAGGGCACCCCTGTTAAGGGTGGATAGGACAAACTTCTTTAGATTTCTTTCAAGCTTTAAAATTTAGGAACGGTGTTTGTATGCCAGTTATTGAGGATACTAAAGGGGCTTTGATGTTATGATCGTGTAAGGGGACTGAATAGTAATGCGAGGAAAAAATGACTGACGCACATGAGACGAGGTTTGCAAGAGTTCTGCGGCGAAACTGATGTTAAGCCTGGTTTGAAAAAAGCCATGTTATCAGAGGTAAAATGTTTTAACGGACCCCGGCAGAAGTACAAACGACTCAGAATATTCTGTCACCCAAATCATAATAAAATTTGAGATAGTTTTAGTAAGTTTTAAGCTAAGACGCAAGGTTTGTGCCGGAGTTCTCCCGCGGAGATCAAGAGATTTCAAAAACTACAAAGTAACTGAAAAAGCATCCGTAATGACAAACTAGAGGCGGTATTAAAAGAAGAGGGAAATGTCATTACTACTAGACGCCCCTCCACACTTCCACCGAATCAAACATGTGCTGTGGCAGTGGATATTAGGATGTTGGAATGTGAACCACTTTGTCTCATTTATCCACTGTGGTAACATATGACACGAGAACACTCAGAAGGAGTTCTAGATAATTGTATGGACCCCATGTTAATCGTGGAACTGTCTCCTGACTACCGAATTTGATGTCTTCATGTTTCATCAACCTTTATGTCAGTTGATGTCTCCGAAAAAACCATGGATACGTGGTAAGCCCATCGTTTGCAGGAATACAATTTTGCTGGTCAAAAGAACAAGTTAGTCGACGCCTCATCATTGTTGAGTAGTCCGAAGTGGTAATACATAATTATGAGCAGCAAAAGCAGCCAACAAGCTAGAAGGGCCAATTTCCTGTTTTTTAGTTATGTGAATACCAACCAACCAGTTTACCGATCGACCAAAACGGTTCAGTAATTAGTTTCAAGGATACTATAAATTGGGTCCCCGCACACTGGAACGACGAATTGGTGTAAAAGTAGCTGCTATCTCTTAGGCATTAACCTATGAATAGGGGACTCAACGGAGTTGTGTGCAAGCAAAGGAGTAGCGCATTCATTCACCTGACCTGTAGCTTGCAGCAAACAAAACGACTGGTTAATAGCACCTCATCGTTGCTGTGATCTGAAATTATTTTCACGATGCCGTTTGTTTACATGGGCTGGAATGCTTACAGGGGTTCAAAATATTAAGGCACTAGGCTCACTTCGGCACTCGTGCCCCCGATTCCCCAACATTCTCCTCACTTCGCCTATATTTGTTCAGATCAAGCGTGCCTCTGCTGTTCAGTGGTAGCTTGTTAGTAAATCCTTTTCTTAGGTTCTGAACAACAGATCTTAATCATGGCCCACTTCACCACATGACCCCATATATAATACATGTTCCAGCTTTTTACAACTATCATAATGTGCGCCCATCGAGTGACACAATGATTTTGCGGAGTTTGCAGGAAGAGCCGGAACAAAACTATCCACTCAAAGGGTATAACAGAAACCTCGGACGGACAGCAAGTAAATGACAGCCAAATTCTTTCATCGAAAACATTGAACTCAGTGTTCTAGCTGATATGTATCCGGAGATCAGCCGCTCTTAATAGCCGTACTTAAAGTCGGTTGGACGGATGTCACGTGCGGGCTACGAACTAAACGAAGGCATGGCTTGCTTAGTCAGAATGTTACGCAGTCAGAATCCAGCATCTGTAGTTCTCACGAAGATTCTAGAGAGACATTATGGAGCGTTCTGTGATGACTATAAAACACTTGTATTACCTTCCCTTCTCTCCGTAAAGGGCTATATCAAGCTACCCTCCCTCATTGTATAGCTCAGTGGGTGGAGCAGGTAGTCAGGGACCGACATAGGGGTTTCATCACCATCTGCAGAACATAACAGTATGAGGCATCCAACACCTGAGAAATGAGTCCTTAAAAATATTTCCCCGGCAATGTGGACGGTCAGTGAACTTCGACCTGTTTTCCACTGTTGTATATGAGATTCTGTGAATGCCATATAGGCACATCGTGGTACACCTCAGTATGATACAGAGGTGCTCAACCACTCATTGATCATGCAACAAGATGTCGTTGTCAACTTTCGTATACTGTCCAGAAAACGTGCACTTGTTTTGCCCTATTGTGAATATTTCACAGGTAATCGTGAAGAGCGGCAACGTGGAACTACTGGGAGATTGATGGGGGCAGTGCCTCAAGTGCCGCCAGTGCCGATTGCACAGACCGTTTTGGTTGCTGATGGTTTCCACGCTGAAGGTACACAGCCAACTATTTGTAATTATAGCGCGGAAATAATTCGCTTGCTCAAACACAGTCAGGTGCTTGTAGTTTTTGGGCCTCCCGGCTGTGGAAAAACTACATACCTCCCGCAGGTGAGTTTAGCGCTTCCACTTACGTGTGGAAAATTAACTATAAGTATTTGTATACGTATGGTATGACCAGTTGTAAGTTTGCCCCAGTTTAGTTCCACGTGCATCATTGATGCGGCCGAATTACGTCTTTTTCTTTCTTACAAAAGCGATCAATATATCAGTTTTGTTTATGCCATCACTTTTTGTTGCCGTGGTTGAAACTAATCGAAAGTATAAATGATCTTGTTCGTCCAGTCTTCATTGACAGAAGCGGGAATTCGCACTTTCTCAACTGCTCTTTTCCAAGTCTGATCAAATAAAATTCGTTTGCAGTGAGATGGATTGAGGTCAACGATTTAAGCAGCCGCGCACCACATGCATAAGAGGTCGCTTCTCCACTCGTAATCCTTGCAACATGCGTGGTTTTAAGATTTGACTGGTCGATTAAAATCAACCTAAAATATGGATATAACGGTTGCGTCTGATGCAGAGTCCAGTTGCAGCTAAAAGAGCACACCGGTTGATGTAAATGGTAATATAGTCTGTCTGAAATATTAGCTGATGTTTAGGCGTTGCTAAAACAACCTTAGGATGGCTCAAAAACGGTATCAATCCCTCGACCGTGCCTCGTCGTGGCAGCAACGCGGTTCTTTATGTCCCCTGATATCATATTTCTGATACATTTACGTTTGAAAAGGCAGAGTTTCACAAGTTCCATCTTCCACATTTACAAAATCTCCGCAGAAGAACTCAAGACGGTCGGTTATGATAACTACTAGCTCATACACTGTTGAATTCAACTGAAGGTAATTCGCCAACGCCTTGTAGTTGTTAGTGTCGTAACTCAAGTCTTTTGTACGAAGGCACTTCTGTGACGGCATGAAAGTAAGTGCCCGCTTGCGATTTTTGTGGCTTTTGTTCTTCCATAGCTAACATCGGGTACTTGAAGGCCATAGACAAAAATAAGATATCCGAACTGATTAGCAGTCCAGTCTGAATTTCCGGCACCATCGACTACAGTAGCATATGAAACCCGACCAATACGTGCGGATTTCTTTATCTGGCTACGGTTAAGCAGTGACAAGCAACAATGAAATATTTTGGTTAGCTTTAAAGCAGACTCCTTAAGCTTTAACGCTTATGTCTTACACCAAGCCCCCAAAGTAGCTACATCTTCCGGCGCGTAAACAGAATCTGAAATGGCTTCTGCCAACTCATCTGTCAGTAATGTAGATGAGACCCCTGATTTTGGTATATACTTGGATAAGTGTCTCCTCAAGTTAGTGACGAGCTAAGTTTACGTTGCGATCTTCTCCCGTTGTTGCCTGAAGACGTTCCTCCAAGTTAGGAATGATTGTGCGTGGGTACGACCTGTCGCTGTAGGCCATTCTAATGCAGTCGACCTGCCAAGCAACTTTCATCTGTGTGCCAAGTTGGTTATCACTGGGGAATCACATTAATCTCAGCTAAGTTTTCCGTTTATGATATCCTTCAGCTAAATGCGCTGTTTTAGGCCGCCTTGTGTTTCGTTCGAAATATCACAATACACTGAATAGAAGGGACACTCAAGCGGACTAGGGCCTTATCAGCTTGTTTCAAATTAACAAGTAAAGTAACCAATACAAAATCACAATATCACAATAGGAAAAGAATGAGCAGTCAAATGGGGACTCACGAATGTGTAGATCCAATAGTCCACTACGCCGATCCGAATGCAGTAACAAGCTGTTAGAGGAAATATTCACTTGTCGGAATTTCCCACAGATGGTTCCGCGTGAGTGATATATTCCACGGTAGGAAAATTATTCACGGCTAAATAATGTCACAGGGATTTATTGTAACGTTCAACGGTTGACACAAACACAGAGATTTAGTCCCACTGGTTCAGCATTCAACAGACAGTTCAACGGAGCGTAAATACGCTCTTTCAACAAGAAGTCAGCAGGTCGCGCCGGAAAATTGTGTATTCGTAACATTAAAACAAACGTCATGATACAATGTGAACGACAGTTACAAAGTGTGGTTCAAGTTCAGGAAGAATGGTTAATGTGACAACGGATTACGGACACTACAAGCTGCTAGTGTGAGTAGATTAGGGAAGTTTAGATGAAAGCTTCCTCCTGTCACTGGATCCATTCTATGCTTGAAATCCGAGAAATAATTTGCAGCCGTTTCACCCACAGTGCGCTTCTTACCAAACTCCAGGAAGTTTTCAACCCGCAACCTTGTCAGGTCTTACAGGTTATACTTATAAATAACGAGCCTGGAAACCACCACAACACGCCGGTCGTAACAGTATATGTTTTATGTCCAATACCAGGCGCTGCGTTGGTTAGGCCATTTATTGTGCATGCCAAATTATCGTTTGCCGAAGAGAATGCTGTTTTCCCTGTCCAATTCGAAGTGACGGGAGCGGAGAGGTGGCCAACCCTTGACCTGGCAAAGGGGTTTGAAAGAGATTACGAAAAAGTTTGGGTCCGTTCGACCGCATGGAATTCGAAGTGACGGGAGCGGAGAGGGGGCCAACCCTTGACCTGGCAAAGGGGTTTGAAAGAGATTACGAAAAAGTTTGGGTCCGTTCGACCGCATGGAACCCTGATTAGAAACGTGACAAAATATGGCTGCCAGTCAATGTCAATGGTATTCTTGTTGCCAATTTCATTCCAGCTTGCCTGAATGTGTCTGGAGGTGTTGGCACGTCAGAATAATTGTGGTAGACTAGCTTTAAGTCCCCCTTACGTTTACTTTTATTTTTCTCCACACTAAGGCTTTCCAATGAAATGTGGTTGTGCGGCAGCGAATTAACGGAGCTGAACTCCGATGTTATGCTGTCGGTGATGATTTCGACGAGTAACCACGCAAAATTCAAATTATTTACAGCCACACACCGGCTACCGAGTCTGACAACAAATTACCTTTACAGCTAGAAGCTTTTCAGTATCCTTCGAAACATGGAGTGCGCGACCAAGACTCAGTTGGAAAAGGAATCATAGCCCAAGCCAGACAGACTAGTTATTAGTAACTAACGGGGACAATGGCTGTATTCATTAAAATGCCTTCTGACAAATAAGTGTGTTTGGATAACAGTACGAGTTAGGTGACAATGAACCGAGTTAAGCAACTTGCACCAACTTAGTAACCACAATCCGTTGCAGTACATAATGACTTTTTTGTACAGTGTCCTGCACGGTAGCGCAAAAAACGTGTTTCTCGAATTGGCTTCTGGTGGAAGAAACCGGCCGTCAGTCCATAACCAATGTCTACTATACTAAACATCCAGTGATCCATTCAGTAGAGACCGCTGAGCAATGCCTAGTTGAGTGTTTTTCACTCGAGAGTGTCGTGGAAAGTAGTATACTTGCTTTCTATGGACCCAAAGTTAGTATGCAATAATTTACACAGACTTCAGCTTCATGCTGGATCATGCTTGGATTTTTTAGCCAGTGCCGGAATTGTACTTCAGTCAACTTCTGATTTATCCTTTTTCTATAAAAGGTACTATTGAATGATTGTCATAATCGGAATCAGAGATGTCGCATGATTTGTACCGAACCACGTCGGCTGTATGCACACATCAATGCTGAGCGCATAGCCCATCTTCGAGGCGAAACAGTGGGACAGACAATAGGTTATCAGATACGATTGGAATCGAAGTAAGTAAAATCGATATTGAATTGAAAAGCATTGAAAAAATAAACTTATTTGACTGAAATGGGACATAACTTGCAAATTTTGACCACCAGGACCAGTTAGTGAATGGAATCGGAGTGACTGTCATCAGCGAATTGTGTGGAACACAATCTATCTCACAACCCGCTCTGAATATATCAAATATATTTTTCTTTCTATTTGGGACAGACAATAGGTTATCAGATACGATTGGAATCGAAGTAAGTAAAATCGATATTGAATTGAAAAGCATTGAAAAAATAAACTTATTTGACTGAAATGGGACATAACTTGCAAATTTTGACCACCAGGACCAGTTAGTGAATGGAATCGGAGTGACTGTCATCAGCGAATTGTGTGGAACACAATCTATCTCACAACCCGCTCTGAATATATCAAATATATTTTTTCTTTCTATTTCTTTCTTTACTTTCTTCATAGGCATGCTGAATATTTGGTCAGAGACTTACAGAAACCTCACTACTAGTCTCGCCCTGTCAGAGATTCCTGTGTAAGGCACAGCTCCCGGAATCTGAAGTCTTCGGTTTTTAAATTTAGTAGCGTCTTGTGGTACATCTAACCATTTGAGGAAGTTCATTGTGACAGCGATTTTAAACAACTACAAAGCTACCAGGTTGATGGCATCAAAGATCCGGAATAGACCATCTGTTTCTATGACCCAGACGTACAGTAGTATTCTCAAGAACGATCTCCCCAGCCGACTGGCTTTCAAACCTTACTGGCATAGGTCATCCTGATGTGACTATCACCTAAGTCACTTAGTCGGTCCCTCAGTCCTTCGTCATCTCTGCTGTCCTCTCATAGATTACTTCAGCGGTGGATTGCTAAATTTGTCGAAAACTTTCATCCACCAACTTGTGTCTTGTTAACTAGTGAGAATTTGTACTTGAACAATAGACTATGCACATGTTGAACGTGTCACTTATTTGCCACCTAAAATGATTAATTGCGGTTTGCGTTTCCACGCCTCAATTTTCCTCTGCGACTCCTGGCATGAAATACAGGACAGACTGCTTTAACTTTTAGGTGGCCGTGACTTTCCATAAGAAAGATTGCAAAGCTTGTAGAAGAACTCTATCGAGCCCACATATTCCCGAGTGGTACCGTATTTATTTCCGAGCATCGTCGTTGACCTTATTCACAATGATATAGCCACGGACACGTAAAAAATATGGGATCATTAACCCTGTTCATCGCACAGAGCAATGGGTTAACGCGTGTCTGAACAGATATCTGACTAATTTGACACGGCCAAATCGTTGCACGTCAATTTATCGCCCACCGGTTTGTAGCAAGCCAATCTACAATCCAACCAATGTATTAGTTTGTTGTTATATCAGTTCGTAACCCAAGCGGCTAATATCAACTTTAGGTAAAAACAATTAATGTCATGGGTTTTCATCCTGGCGCTATTATCTTATCACGCGTGAAAGACAGCAAAGGAATGGTGGTATATTGCCCGATACTGCTACATGGGCGTGTCCATAAATGTTGTGTAGATACACGAAAAGGTGAAGCTGTCAATACTATCCTGATGGGCAAGAAAAAAAAGAAGTGGTATGAAGGCTTACTGGGAAAATACCCAGCACGACAGTTCTCAGTGTCTGTCAATACCACTGGTTTGTTATGCCAGCTTTTTCTTGTTGTTCATAGCAAATTGGCTGTCGCTATAATCTAACCTAATCCGGTTGACCAAAACATGCGGTCATGACCAGCTGTGCAGTACAGATAATCTGCGTGGTTAGTAGCATATGAAGAATTTCCGATCCCGTCACAAAGAGCTTGAATATGAAGTACACCGTCGAATATTACCACAATACACTTAGTCCCCAAGGGTAAACTCTTTCTTGCCACCAGTGAAATTTCTGGGGAAGACATCTGGACGGAAATTTTGATGACATTATAGCAGTGACCTGTACGAACATTTGGTTGTATAGATGACTACGATATCCTAGATAGTTATGTCATATTGTGTGGGAGAATGCCCCTGTTGGCTAGAACCATCGGGCCCTGTAACCCAATGGACAAGAACCTGAAGTTGCATTTATATCACACTTGATCACCATCTTCGCAAATGTTACGTTATTGACTGTTGACTTTCATCGTAATTTATTTTGTCCCCGTTGGATACTTCTAATGAAGCCGTGGACACTTTTCCACGACCCGAAAAACAATCTAGCGAACAGATTTTGGTTTGTGAGAGCGTCATCAATATCAAGAGTGCGTATGAAAGTGTACAATATCCAGTTTGTAAACAAAAGTGTTCATTACCCACTGTGGGAGTGTAGATGAGTTGATCTTTGTCCGACTATATAAAAGAACTTACTAGTTTCTTCCAAAACGAGGCGATTACAATGGCTTCAGCGATCAATGACATTTAATGAGCGGATTAGGCTAGGCTCTATGTAACGCAATTTCGTGTGTGTATTCTGGAGCAATGAGTTCACGGTTCTACGAGAAACCTTTACGGGAAATTCGCTTTTGTGACGGCGCTGCATTCATCGGCCTACTTACTCACTCTTTTGTCCCATTTTATGTACGGCTACAAATGTCACTGCGACTTAATATTCGTGCTTTCAGAGTATCTCCGCGAACTCTTCTCACGTTCTGTACGCATGGAGTCTTGTTGAGGACCATATATGCTGATCCGGGACTGATTGCTGGCACAACACATATCTTAGTAGATGAGGTGGAAGAAGACGAAATTCCTTTGCACAGAAATTTGATTTCAAGAAATAACGTCTTCTCGGAACCTGATCAGAATTCTCCTAATCTATCCGCTGACGCAACAGACCGCCCAGATGACGATACACACTTACACCCGTCAGCGATATCCAGTAAAACGGAAGGTTGTGGCATATTACTGGGCATGCTGCCATGGCTCTTGAATCACTATCCTCACCTAAAAGTGATCTTGCTTGTGAACTTACGAAAAACGACTTTTGATTCTCGTCGGTTGGAACTATATAACGATATTGTCCAACACACGGTTGAATACCAAGCCCAAGTATGTGTGTACCATTCTCCATCCGCGCACAAGTTTGAGTATTTTTTAGAAGAGGTTCACTTTCTTTGTGCTTTTGTAATTCACGCATTATTTTCACTCGAGCAAAAAACATATATCTTCGTATTTTAGTGGAAATTAAGAAACCATTGCATTTCTTTTCAGCGAGAAACTGTTTGCAAACATCTTTTTTAAGATGAAATAAGTGACGCTTACTACTTGTAGAAATGGCTGGCGTACTGATGGTCGTCTGGCAGATTTAATCCCAACGTTTCACCATCAGTAAAGGCGATGTCCTCAGTGTGTCACTGTATAGTGAAGCGGTGCGGTGTGCTAATGCATCTGTTGAGTGGTAAGGTGCAGGTGTTTATAATAATCTAGCTTGGCTCCCTGGTTGAGCGATTTCATTTGTCGAAGCTGGAGTTTTTGATCTATTTGGTTAACCTCCACGTGAACTTTGAACTGCGCCTGTTTTGCTTTCAACCGCTGGGCGAAACTCGGGTAGACTGGGATATTGAACTTTTCTCGCTCCACACCTGTGTAGTTGAGGATACGTTTTTGTCTCTTGCTTTGTTAAAGCCATAATCGACTGCATTGAGTGTTCTAGTCGACTCTTGTCCTTCACACAAAGTGATGGGTCGAGTCTTTCAAGCTATTCCATCGAATTTCTGGTAAAATACCATACTCCCAAAAAGCGTCTTGCTCAATTCTCATCTCCCTGTGCCAGTATTTCGAAATTTCTCATTTTGGATTTGCGGCGATTTCGAATTTCTTATGTGAAAATCAAGTACATTTGATCATGTCTTGTGATAACTGAGTCATGTTTTACTCAGTCGCGCGCATACTGTTCTCCCACTTGCTCCGATTCCAGCTATGTTCCTATCATACCAAAGGACCGTACTTCTTGTTGATTGCTGCTTCTACTGATGCTCCCGAGCTGGTTTCACAACGGCACTGTACATCAGTGACCTGGATTTGTCAGTTAGCAGCCGAGCGTATCGGCCATCATTAGCATATCTTCTACATTACCCTGTAGTTTCAGAATCCTACTCTTGCACTGTCGCCGTCTGGTCACAAACGGATATGATGATGGACCTGAAGGTACTGTGAATGGAAGACAGGTTTATGCAACTTCACTGACTCAATATCTACCAGGTTCTTCAGGAAAACTGATTTTTCAATATGAAATCACATCGTTGTCATACGTCTCACTCATTTCTCATTAGTATTTGAGTAGTTGAGAGTCATAGTGACGTGTTTTCAGCCTAGCACTGACTGGTGAAGGAAACAAAAATCTTTGACAGTTCCTGCGGCATCTGCCGAAAATACCATACATACATCAGTCGTTTTTCAGTCAGTATTTGGCTGCCTTGCATTAAATCAGTCGCTTAAGACAAAGTCACCTGGTGAGCGTTCAGATGGTGAAGAGCTAACAGCCGTCATTTGCACCCATATCACCATGACCATCTTGTTTTATACCAGTTGACTGAATATCCGGTCGTGGACAATGCAATCGAAACGGTAGGTTTCGTCACAGGTGGTGGTCTCAACTTGAAAGCATGCACTGGCAACTGATTTTGTTAACCAATTGGATACTGCATTAAAGATGGTTCGTGTTAGTTAACCCTCCCCTTTGAGTGGATGTTACTGGTTCTTTCCTTCGTGAGTGAGGGATGGTACTCTGTGGCATTTCATTGACCTAATAAGCAATTTCCTCACTGAAGCGGAGTTGTTTGCTGTCCAAAAACACTAGTGTTTTTGGCATGCCAAGAACTTTGTGATGTGACAGTCTTGTTATCAACACCATCATCAGAAACAGAAATATCACTGTTGACACTGATGCTTTATTGCCATATGAACACAAGGTTTAGCTAATCAAATTTAAAGCTTCGGAGTGAGAAGGAGGAAAAAGAGCGGGTGAGGAAGGGGTCCCGGTGTAGCGGTGATACTACTGATCGGGAGGCACGCGAGTAGTATGTGTTGTTCGTAGAATTTCACTTTGCATCGATTGAAAAATGGAATTCTTTTGCGGAATTCGCGCGGCCACTTTGTAACATTTGCTTTTATTTGACCGGCGAATGATTGGAGGCAATGAATCTCCAGGGAGATTCGTTCGGGAGAAGATCTTTGTCCAGGTTTTGTAGCTAAGATGCAGATTAGAGTTTTCTTCCTTGTTCAGTGGTCTGTAACCGGTCAGTTGGCATTTCCGAATTACTCCGCAGCGAAGGCCTTCTTCCCTTCACTGGTAATGGCCTGTTGCAAGCATTCTGAGGTGCTTAAACCTCCAGGCATTTGACTGGACACTCTGGAACACAACGGACAGCACAAACGCCATTGAGATCGGTCAGCCACTATTACTAGCAGTGTTTTCAACCAAGCGCAGGAGAGATAACGAAGATCCCACCCTGGAAGGTGGACCTCACCAATAACCTAAACCATTTATAATCTCTTTCACAACCTTCTTCCAAGTTATACGTTCTTCTCCTCACGGTTCGCGCTATTCTAAAGGAGGCGCTAATAAAAACGGTACTCTCGTCACCTGGTGATTCAGCATGTGTAGCTGTCCGAGGAAGCTTTTTCTTTAAGTAAATTCAACCACTTTTCCGAATGTAAACATTTTTTTCGTCTGTTCCCGGTATGATTTAATTAACCGAAATTAAAACTGAAATTGATACTTACCTGTTTGGTGTCTCCTGGATCAGGTGTGTTTGGTCAGCTGGCCTGTTGGATATTTTGAATGCACCTTTGGTTGTCATCGTAAATAAGCTAGAATTCACCTCCAGATTACGTCATTTTGTGTGCTTTTTATTCCGCCGGACGACGGGCCTAGTTTACCTTTTAGTTTACATTTGGATTGGCATACATAATGCATGGATAGACTGTACTTCCTGTGCAAGTCCATACACAGTGACAGTCACAATGACTGTGGTCGGAGCTGGTCCTTCTTTTAGGAACTGCTTTGAGCGACTCTGATTGACACAGCCAAGCCACGTCTGAGAGATCGGAAAGCCCGAGGTGATGTTCTACCTTGGCCCAGATTCTTGGGATTTTCGGGTGAGAAGGAACTGAATTTGCTGTCCGGTCTTTTCTGCAGATTGCGGTACGCATATCTGGGAGCTCACGGAGGTCATACCCGTTGTTGTGGAGAATTTAATCAATCCACGTTTATTCAGGAAGTGTGAAGCAGCACACTTTGGGCCAGAAGTATTATTCCAGTGCGCCACAGCAGACAAATTTCAGCGGGCAGATATTCCGTTTTTTCTTGGAAGCAAGTCTACTATGGTATTTTAATGAGTTGTTCTCCTAGCTTTTATTTGGTACTTAAGCCCGATGGTGTTTTTCTCTTGCCCTACACGCTGTTTAAATAGCATGGGTTGGAAGAAAAATACACCGCGGAAACATCTGTGGCATTAGGACAATCACCACAATCCTTCAACACGAACTGTTGTGAGTGTGCAGACCAGTTCTCCAAATCGTCTGGAAAACTTCGAAATCCATTGAAGTTTTCAATGGATAACAGTGCCAATAAGAATATTTTGTTCTCTCCCCTCAGTGAACTGGAAGTACCTTCGGCGTCAAAGTCATGTGCTTTTTCATTTCCGTCCAGGCAAACGTTCCAGCGGTGTCCGAATCTCCAAACTATCGATATGAAACATGCCGCATGTATAACTTTGAAAACCGAACTAATATCAAGTTGGAATCTTTTTTATGAGAAGGCGCAGACTCTAACTAGTAAGTTTTGCGTCTGGGGGATCGACGATACGCAATTCATCAGATATCTACTGTTTTTCTACTGTTTCTTTCCAGCCCCACTTCTCGATAAATTTTATCGTCACATGACCACTCAGATGTCTACGTGCCGAAACTGTCTGAGCCCATGGCCGAAATATTGCGATAAATAGGGATTGACTAAAGCGACCAGGCAAACCCTGACCGTTATCTCGTATATATATATATATATATATATATATATAT